GTAAATTTTGACAAAATTCAGTCAATCCCGGCGCATTCACCATTTTTTAATTATTTAATCACACTACCTTTAAGTCCGCGGGCAAAGCAAGCGGGTTAGCAGCCAGTATTTTATAAAATCATTAGGTCATTTTATTAAACCAAACTTAATAAAAGCAATAGTGTGTGAAAGAACATTTAATAATTACCTAATTGTTAAAAAAAGTACCCAATAAATTATTTTAAATTTACGATTTTATTATTGAGGTTTAGGTACATTATCAAGGGTAAATTTGTTCAACCATACTAAGAGCATAGTAAATGTAATTAAAAAAAGTGATTTTCTAAAATGTTTCTAGACAATAGTTATTTACAATATAAGTGGGCAATCGCAGAAGTTAATGAAGCGTTATCACACATATATTGTACAAATTTTATCTACGGCTCTAAATGAAAAAATAAACTGTATTAATTATAATTTTTGTCTAAGACTTAATTTAGGGCCATTGTTCTTCGCCACTTTCTACACGTCTATTAGCGACACATTTGTTTTTCTTAGCAACGATAATATTGTCATAAACAATTCGTCAAAAATAATTGTTTCTACTCATATTACGGAATTTGACCGTTCTAACTTTTATCTATGGAATGACATATATTCCGTAAAGTTACAGAATGAAATGTTCTATCATCGGATGACAGGATAAACACTCGTGGCGACATCTCTGTTTTTAATATCTAACAAATTTTAGACCGATCCAACCTCACTTTCTTCCAATTAAATTATTTTTGGAAACGTAGAAAAAGTATAGTCTGAAACACGTTTGGAATTGCATATTCCGCTCTCGTGAAACCGTCAAACTCGCCTTCGGCTCGTGTGACAAACTTTTCACTCGAGCGGAATATGCTATATTCCAAACTTGTTACAGAATATACTATCTACTAATAAAAATGAGTGATTCGGAGAGTTTTCCATCTGATATTAAAGAACAAGCTTTAAAAGCTATTTCCGGTCTGTTGCCGGAAAAATCTAAGTCAAAATACGAGTTGACCTATGCCAAATATGAAAAATAGATTTGCAGTTTGGCAAATGAGAAGGTATTATTGTCATACTTTAGCAGTTTATCCACTTCAGGAATTTATTTGGAACACTGTACAGATTGTGTTATTAATATTTATAATAAATAATTAAGCTGTATTGTTACATTAAATTTAAACAGATTTTGACATTTTGACTTTTTTATTTGATTGGTTGAAAAGCAGTGAGATAAGAAAAACGCGTGCGTTAATGAACTTCTTATCGCACTCAATATGAGCGGGATAAGAAGTTCTTATCTCACTGGCGTAAATAATAGTATATTATGTATCAAGTTTGATAAACGCCATTTTATACACGAATTTAATTTAGGCACGAGCGAGCTTGCGAGCGAGTGCTTAAGTTAATGACTGTATAGAAAAGTTTATAAACGAGGTGCATACTATACTTTTTCTACGACAAATACTTATTATTATCTTAAAATGATTTAAATCAAAACAGGGGAAACTGTCAAATGTCACATTTTTACATTTTATAAACACAATTATAAAGGTTATAAATCGAAATGTATTTTGAAAATTGACAGTTTTTCACAGTGAAAGTAAAGGAAATGTTTTATGAGGACTTTACAGTAGAGTCCGTGCCCGAATTTAAGTTAAAACTATACATATACATATACTATAGTTTACTGCCGGCGAAATTAAAAGGTCTGTACAATGTTCATAAAAACTTTTCAAATATTGGCGTTGAGAAACTATTGAATAGTTTTGTATTGAGATAATAAAATAATTTTTACATTTAATATTATTTTACAAGAAAGGCACTTTATTTTAACGATTGTATGACATTTGTCAAATGTCAACTAACTTAAAACTAACTTCAGCCCGTGACTAAAAACCTGTTGATAACTTCGCCCCGTGACTAAAGCGCCATAAAGCCACAACTTGTCAATGTGTATTTAAAAGGTCACTTAGTGTCATGGAAACATGTACGATAAAGGGCGTTTTAAAGGTGGGAGTAGAAAAAATACTTTAAATAATGTATTTCTTTTAGATATACATATAACAGGTACACCACACCAAATTTGAAACAAAATATTACAAATTTGACACCCTGTATCTTAGAAAGGAGTACTATTTGCACATGACTTTACAGAAATTTTTTTCAACAAACAATTAATTTGAAACATGCGATAAAACTGTCTCCAGAACAATTATTTTGGTACAATAAGCAAAGTGTATAGCATTTGAAAATGAAAGTGTATACAGTTCTTAGACTAATAATATTCCTAATGATTATTGTTAGTTAACGTTTGCATTATTATTGTATGCAAATATCTGTTATACAAGTAAACAATAACGCTGTAACTTGTCTAGGAATTTTAAATAAAAGAACGTAATAATATCTTCCTATTGAATTCGTAATAAATTGTTAAGAATGAATAAAATTTTGAGGATGGTATGTATTAGGTTGTCACCGGTTTCTGTTGTATTGTGTGGTTTAAACTTTTTATATTTTAATAAAAAGGAAATAATGGTTTGTGTAGGGTTTTAAAATTTTTAGGATATATTAATTACAATAAATTATGTAAATTAAAACCAACTCTCTAAAAATAAATTAGTCAAAAATGACTAATTGTCATAGCGAAAAAGCAGTCTAATAATTCTCGTTAATAGCAATTTGTATTCCAAACATTTAAGTCAATTTCCATGTAAAAATGTAGAACAGTTTTTAAAATATAGTAAATTTTTCATATAATATGTTAAAACCTGCTCTACTTTCATAATTTTTGACGGTATTTTCGAATTCAGGGGACAATTTTATATAAGAATTGACTATTAAATGTTGGGAATACCATGGTACCCTATGGTTAACCATGGTATAAGTAAAAAAGCAGCCACTAATAATTATACTAATTTATTATATTATATTATATTATATTATATTATAACACATCTACTATTTTCGCTCGTAGGATCAAATAAAATTTAGGTCTACCACATTATAAAATACTTGAATATTAATTTATACTTATAACAAATTTATTTAAAAAAATGGTAGGTACTATACTCCACACCTCAAAGTCCCACCACGTGACCACGTACGGAACGCAGTCTTTTGAAAATTTGGCATTTAAGGCTTTTCAGGTTATGTATCTGTCAAAATATATTCAATGAAAGAAATATTATTTATAGTTTACCGCTTATTTTTAAGCGTTAAAAGTTAATAAATCGTTATAGTATAGTAGAGTAAAGAACATCTTACTTAATGGTATCACAATAACAATGGTTGGTTTAAGAACTTAGGAATATAGATACTGCATTTAATGAAATTCTAAAGTGTATGGTGCCAAATAAGTGATATTTTTCTGCATTGCGTCAACATTTCTCCATAAAATAGTTTTAAATAAACCGCATTTATTAAAAAAAAATCTAACTTCTCTATTATGGAATGAGAATATCTGTATCAAAGGTAGGTATTATTATACATTAGTATTAGAACAAAAAATACCATCTAATTTTGTATTTTAAGATTATAAAAATCTATTTTGACCAAAATAAATAAGTGGATTATTTGGAAAAGTGTGTTAATATGGTCATAAATAAATATAGGTATACTAAATATTTGTTGAACATGGCTTAAATTAAATTGAAGCTTTTATACTTTTAACGACAAAACTTGGGCATACCTCTCGGCATACCTACTTTAAGTAAGATTATAAGAAAACAAACAATTTTTAGAGAAACGAGAGAAACGACATGTGATTTATTAAAATTTTTAAAGATATAATGATTTTTCGATGGAGATCAAATTCAGTCGACGCTTTAAAGCTTATAACTATTTGTATTGACAAAACTTTATGTAGGTAGGTACACTTTAAAGTGGATTAGAAAAACTACCACATTTTTAAATACACATTATACAGTCTTTCAAATAATCCGAAATACTTATATATTTTGGTCAAAATAAATTTTTCTAACCTTAAAATTACAAAATAAGATGATATTTTTGTTATAATATATATATATTAACATACCTTTAATACAGATATACTTATTTAATAACAGAGAAGCTAGATTTTTTTTATAAATGCTGTTTAGTTAAAATTATTCTTGAATAAACTTGATATTTGCACCAAATGCACAAAAATATTACTTATTTGGCACCATACACTTTGGAATTTCATTAAATGCAGTATTTATATTCCTAAATTCTTAAACCAACCATTGTTATTGTAATGTTATAAAGATGTATACATTTTTAACGCCTAAACATAATATTATTTCTTTCGTTGACTATATTTTGACAGATACATAACCTGAAAAGCCTTAAATGCCAAATTTTCAAAAGACTGCGTTCTGTACGTAGTCTCGTGGAGCATAGTACCTATAATTCTATAAAGAAATATATTTTTTACATAAAGGAGGCGGTGTAGATTTTTGTATTTAAAAACGTTTTTCAAGGTTTCTAATAATGAGTTAATTATTCCTGTTGCTATACGATTATAATGGTTAATATTATAAACGAAAAAATAAATTATGTTAATAATTATTATATTATAATATGCTATGGGAGTAAATAATGTCAATAAATAGTGCTCAACTAAATAGCGTGCCAGATAAGATAAGTATTGTTATGATAATTCCTATCTCATAGCGAAAAAGCAGCCACTAATAATTCTCGTCAATAGCAATTTGTATCCCAAACATTTAGCAGTCAATTTCCATGTAAAATTGTCCCCTAAATCCACATAATATAAAATTTACTATATCTCAAAAACTGCTTTACTTTCTTAATTTTTGACGGTATTTTTGGATTCAGGGGACAATTTTACTTTATGTATTTTTAGAGAGTAGATAAGCACTAACATTATTAAGCCCTAATAATAAGGTTGTAATGAAAGGCATTACATTATATAAAAAAGTTTCTACATTTATAATATAAATGTAGAAATTTTTTATAAAATGTATTATATATTATATTACCTTCTTGTTGTGATGATTGGTAGCTATTTGGTGCTTCGTAATCAGCTTCAGGAGCTGATGGAGATCCATGGTAATCATGATGACCACTGGGTGGATATGGGTGTCCATATTCTATAAATACATTAAAATTGATGATATTTTATTGGATCTAATATGCTTCATGTTGTTTTAAATAAATGTTTAAATAAATAAACACTTGGGGCTGTAAAGTTAGGTTTTAAACGCAATATTTTAGAAGAGCAAACGTGACCAGGTTGTTGAATTATAAAAGCGGGTGTATTGAAATTTTATAAGTAAATGCGACAGTGCCGAACATTTATAGCTAAACCGGCAACTTGTGGTTGTAAAATTGTATGCTGCACCTTTGGGAGTAAGGTACAATATGGCTTTGAAAAGTCCTACAAAATTTAACGGGTACAACTTACATGATAATAATAGAAAAACATGGTTTAACATGTACAGGCGCGCGTTTGATTAAATATTAAATGGTATAAATTTATCTGGTAAAGACAGTAGCCTTATTCGAGGGTGGCAATGGCAGTTTCCCCCAGAATTGTCTAACCCAGTATTTTGCCATCACAGAATTTAAAGGTTAAAATATAAATAATTTATAAACAATAGTAAAATACAATGTTACAAGTTCTTGTTAGCTCTTTTGGCCATCGAAAGAAGTGTTTATATGTGTAAGCTAAAACAGAAGACTTCTTTTTGTATATAAGTATACTTTTTTAGGGTGAGTCAAACCACGTCAAGTGGGACCAGAAAATTTCACGAAATCACCGATTTTGAAAATAATCACATTATTGTGTAGTAGGCATGACTCATATGTCACAGTAAAAAAATTGTTTTAAAATTCGTTTTATTGGTAATGTTATTAAGGTTGACAATTTTGTCAAACTTTAGAGCACGGTAAAATTGAAAAAATAGAATCTCTGGAACCACTATGTATAATTGAATTAAATTTTACACACTATTGTAGAAATGTTTAGACTATATAATGATCATTTAATTAAGGTTAATTTGTTTAAATAAAATAATTTTGCATACATTTATTATAAACAATTGAAATTTTGTATGTGTTCTTCACGCTGAAAAAAAATTAATCTTGTGTCATAATATGCGGTAAACGTTTCCGTTTAATAAGATGTACTCAAAAATTTGTCCTTCATATGTCATTCCGGAGATATTAATTTTTTTGTCCCGCTGTGCGCTTGATCAGTACGCGGCGCGCTTCGTTTCTAGCTCGTCCGTTCTAACGTTTTAACGGTGTGCCTGAACGAAGTTTAAGTCACATAAAAATGCCGCCAAAAACTGATTGTAGTTTCTTGTTCGGGACCCTTTGGTGACTTAAAAATGATATTTACCAAAGTTCTAGCTACTACTCTTTTCAAAATTGTTCGAAAATTCATGATTTTTTTTTTAAATTTTTGTTTATCTCTTTGACAGAGTACACATTTGCACACCGATTTTTATAAAATTAGAGTAAATAATTTAGGAGACTTAGAGAATACTTTTTAATATTGTTCACATCATTTGATATATACAGGGTTAGCCAAAAATCACTTATTTTTAATAATGCAAAAGCGTAAATTCATGATTACTTATAGCATAACACGCGAAAAATATTTATCCCCAATTTTTTTTTTAGATATTTCTACGTCTATCAGGTTACAAAATTGTATTTTTATTAACATTTTACAAGAAAAATAGATTTGTAATAAAATTTAATAAAATAACGCTTAGAGAGTATTTAAAATGTTGTTTAATTTAGGCTTTTTAGTAGTTTTCAATTTTGAACGAAAAATTGGTTGAAGTTTTTTGATTGACACTCTTTGGTGATTTAAAAAAGATATTTACCAAAATTCTAACTGTTTTTTGTTTAAATTTGTAAAAAATTCATTTTTTAAATTATTTGTTTATCGCAAAGTCTACCTTTACCAGAGTACACATTTGTACACCGATATTGTAAACGAGAGAAACTGTTTTTATACTGAGCACATCATTAGATTTATACAGGGTTAGACAAAAATCACTTTTTCTTACTACCTCGACTCATATACGTTGTTTCGTCCCCGATTCCACGGCAGAAAGTTTACGTTTCTTGCATTGGTCAAGCTATACGCGCACACTCTAATAGCGGGAGTAAAAATTTTTTAGTCGTGTGCTTAACATTCAAATTTCGTACTGCCAACATGAGAAACACAAAAATATGACAGTTTTAAACCATAAATTTGCAATTATAACAACAAATAAGCAATTTATGTTTTTACTTTTTTACTTTTTATGTTGTTTTAAGTGTTTAATGGTACTTTTATTTGTTATAAAGTAGTAATTTGTTAATTAAAATACGTTTCTATTTTTACTGTATTGGCACCGCTGAATTCACGGCCTACTGTTATTTATTTATCAAGCTCTTCAAATGGAGATAGGTAGGTACATAAATACACATTTAATTTTTTCCCGTATTTTCGGCCGGGTTGTATTTTCGGCCGAGGTAGTAAGAAAAATAGTATACACTACACGGGCAGAAAGTGTGAGAGTCCAGAACTGCGCGCCATGATGCCCTCGGCTTCGCCTCGGGCATCATGGCGCGCAGTGCAGGAATCTCACACTTTCTGCCCTTGTAGTGTAATATACTATTTTATATAGTAAAACGCATAATGCATAAAAAAGATTTTTCAAAATGTTTCGAAAAGGGGAGCAGCTAGGATTTTGGTAAATATTATATTTAAGTCACCAAAGAGTCCCTAACATTAAACTGCGGAATTTTTATGCGACTTAAACTTCGTTCAGGCACACCGTGTCCTGACGAGCTAGCAGCGAAGCGCGCCGCGTACTGATCAAGCGCACAGCGGGACAAAAAATTTAATATCTCCGGAATGACATATGAAGGACAAATTTTTGAGTACATTTTATTAAACGGGGACGTTTGCCGCATATTATGACACAAGATTCATTTTTTTCAGCGTGAAGAACACATACAAAATTTCAATTGTTTATAATAAATGTATGCAAAATTATTTTATTTAAAAAAATTAACCTTAATTAAATGATCATTATATAGTCTAAACATTTCTACAATAGTGTGTAAAATTTAATTCAATTATACATAGTGGTTCCAGAGATTCTATTTTTTCAATTTTACCGTGCTCTAAAGTTTGACAAAATTGTCAACCTTAATAACATTACCAAAAAAAACGAATTTTAAAACAATTTTTTTACTGTGACATATGAGTCATGCCTACTACACAATAATGTGATTATTTTCAAAATCGGTGATTTCGTGAAATTTTCTGGTCCCACTTGACGTGGTTTGACTCGGGTATAACCTGTAATAATTACATTAATTAAAAGTTAAATAAAACTATGTTTTTGTATGATGGGTGATTAATTTATACATTTACATTTAAATTAATTAATTATTCTTCCTGATCTTTTATTATGCATGAGCATGATAAAACATCAGGCAGACCAATCAAACTCTTGAGTTGTTTGTAAATGATACAGATGTTTTGGCTATTAATTAAATTAATTAATAATGAATCTTTTAGTCATTAGTATTTATAGATTTAAAATTGAACACTTTAAGATTTTAGGTTTAAGTTTATTAATTAATTCAGTTAATTGATCCTTCTTTTAAATAAACCCAAAGGGCTTCTTAAAAGAAATGTATTAGATATAAAATTAAAAAATTATTAAGTTTTATATTTTTTGTACAGTCTGCAAAATTAGTACGTACAAAGGTTAATTAGGAACTTTAGTGTCAGTTTTTATGAATTTCTAATTAAAAAATAAATCTGAAAATTATTCTGTTATTTAATTTTATGACAAAATATAAAAATAATCAATAAACATATTTTTCTGTTTTATATGGCTTTTTAATTTCTACCCGTGATAAATAGGTTTCAGCATAAATTTGCACCTATTCAATCGTTCAATGTATTCCAATATGTTCTGAAATCCTATTATAAATACATATTTGATGTAAACTTGCATGCATATTTACAAGTATAAAAACATTCTATTTAAATTCATCCTTCATAGGTAAATTTTCTTAACATTTAATTTTTAAAACATTTTTAAACTTATATAAAAACCTTGATAAATAGATATTTTTTATGATTAATAAATAAACATTTGCGTTTTTGGGTACCTTTATAATAACTATTAAATAAAAAGGGCAAATGGTCTTAGATTTTCAAAAAAAAATAATTATTGTTAGACTACACATAATTTTTTAATGTGTGTTTTTAAGAGAAGTCAAATATGGGCTGTATCGATTTTTTTCCAAAAATATTTTTTTTATTTTACTTCTGTAAAGTATTAAATTTAAAATTATATTTTGTAATATTGATCCTTTGTACTTACAACCCTATAAAAAATGAAAAAAATCTAGAATCAAGTTTTTATTAAATTGATTTATGTTATACTTTATTATTGTTTGAATTAAATGCTTAAAATAATTTTATTTTTATGTACATTTAATAGGTGGAGTTTTTTAAATAATTTGGTTTTTTAAAGCTCTTGTAAAAGTATGTTGAATTTTTTATTTGTATTATTTTATGTAACAGAGTTTTTATTGAAAATTTTTATTCAAAGAATAAAATCATTTAATTTACTTTACCCACTGTTTTTGTTTTATTATTCATATTTATAAACTATTAACTAAGTAATTTTTGTACTTAAATATTAATTTAGACTTGTTGACCCCCCCTCTTTCTTTAAATTCTACTTTTTTAAAGATTTGGTATCATAGCCGCTGATGAGTTTGTGATTTTATCATTGATCTTTACTTGTACATAAATAAAGGGGGTAATAAAGGAGGTGTAGTAGATTTTATAAAAAAAATTGTAGATTATTTATTATATAATATTTTGGAATCAAAATTGTCAAAAATATTCTTCTTTTATTAGGTTATACCCAACTTCTTTACTCAATGGTTATACATTAAATAAAAAAAAACGCAATAAATATTTTATGAAAGTAGATATAATTTTAATAATTGAAAGGTGTGGACGGGACAAAAAAAAGATTTATCTTGTCCCTATGAGGCGCCGTTTGTGCCATAATTAATCTCTCCTATATATATATTTAATTTTGCATATTTATGT